CAGTTTTGTGGTTTGTGGTCGTTTTGAGACTGTTTGTATTGAAATCGTCTTTATGGATGAGTCCGCCGCCTCCTACACGCTCTACAGACGTGACATCTCGCCTGAACCGTACAGAGACGTGAGAATACGTCTGACAAGTTGTTCAGAGTTCATATCTTTCTTTTCAACGAGTCGAGGCGGAGCTGTCTTGTTTGTTATAGTTAACGTATTATTAATTTGTGCTGGTTGCCGTTCGTCTTCTTCTTCTGGCATGAAGAATCGGTTCTTGTGGCATCCCGAGGGAACTGTGTTCCTCAGTTAACATTTCTGAATCACAGCTGACTTTTTAGATTAATGCATCAAAAGAAAAATAATCTGCAGCTATTTTGATACCAGATGAATCGTTTCAGTCGCGTATGAAAGAAAAACAGTGAAAAAATGCTCCAATTTCTCAGTTTCCAGTTTCTCAAATGGGAGGATTTGTTTCTCTTTGTACATTAAAGTTGTTGTTCTTCACTTTATAGAACAACCAATAATTAATTGTTAGTTCCTGATACTCCGCTGCAGCTTCAGCACTAACCTTTAACTCTCTCTTCTCCTCTTCTGTTTCTGTTTCTCCCTCCGTTCAGGAGTTATCGGACATCAACCGGATGATCCGTCAGGGCTGCGCGAGCAGGAAGAGGGCCTTCACCATGGAGGGGGACGTCATGATGTCCTCATCGTGCGACTCCCCCAGCAAGAGGGCGTGTCCAGAGAACGGCAGCAGTCCAGATGTGCTGCTGAAGCGCCTGCAGGACGTCGTGTCCGAGCGGCAGAGTCACTGAAAACATTAAAGTAATGAATTCATTACAGAAGCCCAGTTTCTGAAGCTACCAGGTACTTGAGGAGGAATTATGAAACTGAACAGTCGGAGTCTGTTTTTATCACTGACGCCTGTTTTGACCTTTATATATTATGACCGGAGGGTCGTAGAACCTGAGCAGGAAATAATGGCATTGGCCATTTTGTTTTATCCAAAGCAGTTTGTAATTTCAGTCCCAACCACAGACGTCTAACTTTGATACTAATGATAATATCTGAACACAGAGTAGAGCACATAAACAATCACTGAGACGCTTCTCTCGTCAAGTAGCTCAACTGTTTCCTGCTTTTCAGTATCTTCAGTCAACGTCTCTTTAATCGCAGGTAGTTTGATATTAGTGCTGTAATTCACTCTTAATGTTGTTTAACATTGTCAGCGGCTAGATGGCAGCACAAGCAGGGTTATCAGTGACTCTTTAAGGATAGTTTCACTGCTTACAGAGTGCCTTTAGAATACCGTTTGTCCTGAATATAAAAGCCTCCTGATTATTAGATAACACGTAAAATACTAAAATACTTCTGAAGACAGGAAGGTTTTCAAGAGATGTTGTGAAAGTGAAAACATGAAATACATTAATACATTATTGAATTAAATTAAACATACTCACTTGATGAGTAGAAAAGCAAAGATGAATGATTTAATATTGAATAGCTTTGTTCTAATCAAATCCAACTGAAATCACTAATAATAACAACAACAAAGAACAGTTCTGACTCTTTAAATGTTCCTTTAGCTGTGCTGTAATTTAAATATCGGCCGATAATATCTGCCCTGATGTTGTAACTGAACGCTTTAACTCTAACGGACACTAAGACATATTTTATTTTGTCATTATTGAAGGAGAATATAAGTTCTTTATATCAGGAGCATTACGGTTACACAGTGATACAGCTGACCTATCACAGAAGAAGAAACCGTTCATTATGAGCTTCAAGTCAATCCGTTTTATTTACTCTTTCCCAACATTTTACTGTTGTAAAATCAACGTTTGGGTTGCCGTGACAACAGTGGAGCGCACACGTTTTGGTCGACCCTCTCACGGCCGGCGACGTTTGACAGCTTTGTTTTCTGCTCGCGGTAAATAAACGACGGTATTAAAGAGATTTAAAGTAAATAAAAAGCTGACGGATTGAAAAGCAGGAAGGTTGAAACTTCTTCACGTCAGCTGAACTTTCAACTGGTGTAAATAGTTTTACTTTAACAGGACAAATCAAGCTCTATTGTACATTCTCTGGTATTAAACACGATATTTGCCGAGGTTTCTGCTTTTTGTAGAGATTTTATTACTGAAACTAAAGTGTTTAATTTTATTCTTTAGCTGAGTTTTTCCCTTTTAATGTTTCCTGTTTCTGGTTATGAACCATTTAATGTTGATTAATGCTGTAATAACAGGCTTAATGCTAACAAGGATTGACTGAAGCAGCATTTGTGTACCAGAGTGTGTGTAGTATCTACACTTCATTTTAGAAAACGATCTGTGACTTTAAACATTTTCATTTTGTTCATTCCTGGTTTGATAAAAAGCTCCGAAGCAAGCAGCATGTTAAAAGATGCAAATTAAAAGTGTTGATTTTGCTTCCAAAATACAAAAAATACAATAATGGGAATCTGTGAGCAGGGAAATAGTTTGTTTCTCACTTTGTATATTTGTGCTTTTCTTCAACCCACTTCAAGGAAATTTGTATTTTCTACAAACAGTCAATGTTTTGTACAATAAAACCTTCTTTGACAACTCTGTGTTCATTCATTTGACTTCCTCATGTGACCACAACAGTCTGTAAAGTCCCGACACCAGCAGGATTATAGTTCAGGTCCAGAAACACTGAATCATTTTTATATTTGAGATTAAATGTTCATTATATGATCGAAAGTGCTGGAAAGCCACTAAATTGACCTCCTGGTGAGATTTTCATGAATGCTGTTTCAATTATTATATTATATATTATTATTATAATTTTATTGTTATTCTCAGTGTCTCCATTATGGAAAGGATCCCTACAGAGATAGACCTTTACTTTACAAACAGCCCTAATATCACTATCACTCTCCACCA